CTTTCTTTCTTTCTTTCTTTCTTTCTTTCTTTCTTTCTTTCTTTCTTCTCCTCTCCCTCTCTCTCTCTCTCTTTCTCTCAAGATTTATTTATTACGTATTCAGTATTCTGTCTGCATGTATACCTGAAGGCCAGAGGAGGGCACCAGATCTCATTACAGATGGTTGTGAGATACCATGTGGTTGCTGGGAATTGAACTCAGGTCCTCTGGGAGAGCAGCCAGTGCTCTTAACTGCTGAGCTTTTTCTACAGCCCCACATCTGGGTTATTTTCTGTCTACTTAATCCTGAATTCTGCCCATGACTTGACTCTTTCTGCTGCTCCCTCAGGCAGGAACCGTCTGGATTGGATGCTTCCCATACCTGGTGGTGCCAGCCTGTCCCTAATCCTGAGTACTCTGCGGCTCTGTCTTAGGTATATGGACATAGACTAGTCTAACCCCTGCCAGCGGTATCTGGTTAAGAACTGAGCACCACTAAAGTTAACGATGGGCTTTTGTTCTAGTATCCCGTTGATGTTTACTTCTCCCTTCTCTTTGACAGTCCTGCTGTGTGGCTCTGGCTGCATTAGTATTTACTGTGTACTACAGGCCAGCTTCCAACACATGGCAGTCCTTTTGCCTCAGCCTCCAAAGTGCTGGGATTACAAGTTCGAGTTCCCTTGCTCAGCTATTTTTCCTTAAAATAAGGTAAGACGGGGTTGGGGATTTAGCTCAGTGGTAGAGCACTTGCCTAGCAAGCTCAAAGCCCTGGGTTCGAGCCTTAGCTCAAAATGATAATAATAATAATAATAATAATAATAATAATAATAATAATAATAATAGTAAGACATTTGGGGGGCCAGGGAGATTGGACTGTAATTATAGTCTTCTCTGGAACCTTGAGTTTAGGACCATTAGCCAAGCAGCCTATTGGATGGCCTTCACGGTAGCCTGGCTATTTTGAACACTCCACAGATGCCTTAGGGAAGTTCCATAACTGGTCGCTGCTGAAGCGCAGCTCTGGCCATGCAGTGGTCAGGGTCTTCCCAGGATTGAACTCAGGTGCCAGGAGCTGGGCTACCTCAGCAGCCCTTTCTTTTGTGCTTAAAGAGCATCTAGTCCTTGTCCTTCCATTTGTTTCTTTAAAAGTGCCAGGGATAACGCTGTTTCCTGACACTTTCTTCTCCCTGTGTGGTCTGTGTTCTCCATAGAACTTGTTCTCCTTTTTAAAAGAAGTTTTCCTTGGCTGTCTTTATTTATAGACAGGACCCACGAAGTGACTAGAGCTGGAGCACCCTAGAGATTTGGCAGACTGATTCCCCCTGACAAACCTGGCTGGGATCTCATTGGGGGACGCCACATCTGTGTTTCATGTGGGGGATAGGAAGCCCTCAGGGAAGATGCTCCCAATCTCCTGCCTGGCTGCTGGAGTCCTGCGGGCTGACCAGATCCTGGAGCCGAGGGGCTGGAGGTGCTGTCTGCATCTCGTGCAGGGGCCCTGTGCACAGGAGACTTTGCCAGGCCTGGTGGGCCCAGCCCAGACAGCCTTAGCTTACCTCCCCAAGGATGGATCTCTTGTCTGCTGGTGTGGGGAAGAGGCCAGTTTATTTAATAGTGGCAATGCTGGCCTCTGTAGCAATCTTTCTCCACCCCAGCCCACAGCAGCCCAGATGTTGGATGCTGTGCAGCACTGCAGATCGGCTGTCCCAGCATTCCTTGTTGATGGCCGTGTATCTGTCTTTCTTGGGTCTAACAGGGACGACTCTCTCACCCTTGGCTTCTGGTGCAGCCTTCTCCTCTGTTTTCATCCCTTCACAATGAATTCCTCAAAATAAGCTCTTTGCTGCCTTTTGGTGGTCTGTGGGGAGGTAGTGAGAGCGAGTGTTTCGTATTCTTGAGAAACCTAGATCCAATGGCCTTTAACGGAGATCTGAGGCGGGGCCCTGGCTCCCACTGACTGCGACACCCTCTTCTAGAGCCCAGCACACCCCCTTCGCCTCCTCTCAGCTCTTGGGCTGCCTGCATGCTCTCCAGGATGCACCCTCTTCACACAGCCCAGCTGTCCCACACACGGTTCCTCATGCTACCCCACTGAGTCACAGGCCAGCCTCACTGGAGACACTCAGCCCCAGAGGAGTCACCTCTGGTCTCTGCTGCCCGCCCTGGGCTCACACCACCTCCATTTTGGGAGGCCTCCACCCTAGGGCTTTGTACTTTTCCATCTCAGTGCCCCCCTCACCTGGACTGTCCTCACTGGCTGCTGCAGTGGCTTTGCCTCTGCCTGGCACCAGCTCCCTGGGGATCACCATACCAGGCCCGCTGGAGCCCTGCCAGGGGTCTTTCCTGAGTCAGGCTGTGGAGGTATCAGCCTCTCTCCCAGCTCCTGCCTTAGCTCCTCACCCTTGCTGGGTCCACAGCCGGCTCCATCTTCCCTGGAAAACACTCATCGCCTGCTCTGAGTTTTGCCAGACCCCAGTCATGGGGTGGGACTGAACCAGTCTTCCTTCTGTGTGGACCTGAACGGCCCTAAGGAGAAGCCATGGCTAACTCTGTGCCCCTTGCTTCAGCCTGCAGTGGCAGGCAGGTGTCTTGGACAGCTGGATGAATGAGCACTCCTTTTGATGAGGTTGATCATCTGTCATCTCTTCTGTCAACAGTCCCCTTAGTGCGGGGTACAGGGCTGTCACCCTCAGTGGTGCCAGATCCAAGTCCCACTGATGTGCTGACTCCGTGCTCAACAGGCACACAGGACTCGGCTTCTGTGACATGGGAAGATTGTCCAGCCACGGCTTTGAGCCTGGGAGGTAATGGAGGAGGACAGGTGCCTGGGTTGGTTCTGGCCAGGTGCAGTCGGGTTGCACCACCTCAGATGGAGACCTGAGACTTCCATTTGCCAGACAGGCTGGGGGCAACCCAGGGCTTCCATGGCCTCAGAGTTCCCAGTGACATGATATCTAGCCTGAGGGTGAAGCCAACCTATCGTAGAAGCTTCTAGTCCAGCACCTGCCCCCTAAACAAGTCCATACAGCACAAATGTCCTTGTTGACTGGTCAGCCACTCCTCGTGGGGGCAGCAGGAAGGTGTTGCCCTAGCCTCTGTGTCCTGAGAGAACCCAGTACTGACCACTGCTTCCGTAAGGGGCTCTGTGGGAGGTAGTGGAAGGAGGTGATGGGAGCCTAGCTTGGCAGGGCAGAGAAGCCGGCTGCATCTCCTCACAGGGTGGCACAGGTTTGAGGGAAGGGGCCTCCAGTCTGGCATCCAGGGCTGGGAAAGCACCAGAATCATCTTCACTCAGATACCCAACCATCATCCCTTACTGATCTGCCCATCCAGGTATGCTGGTCTGGGGATGGGAGCAGAAGGGACATCTTAGGGGTGGCAGGATAGGCAGGTAAAGGCTGTCTTAGGTTGACAAGGCACTGAGGAAGGCAGGAACCCAGGGCTGGCGTGGGGATGGGTCTTTGGTTCCCATCAGGCAACAGCCCGTCCTAAAGCTACAGCATCTTTGTGGCGGGCCAGCCAGTCACCACTCACTGAAAGAACCTGCCAGGGACTCCACAGAATCCTTCTTTGAAGAAAATCACTGTAACCAGATCAGACGAGCTGTTAATCCTGATGCCATGGGGAACAGCATCGGAGAACAGGGCCTTGGTTGCTTTGGCTTTCATCCTAGATGCTAGTAGTTCTTGAAGTCAATTCACACCTTTCCAGTGTGGTGGAAGGAGGATAGGGATGGCCTGCCAGGGCTCAAGATGCTAGGCAGGTGGCTGGGTCAGGTGGGATCTAGTGTGAAGGGCTCCTGTCCTCTGGAAGGTCTGGCTTCACCCATCACCAGGATCCTTCCGCAATGCTAGGGTTTGAAACTGCAGGTACTGAGGTACCTGCTCATATCACAGATGCTAACAGGGCTTCTGGGAGCTTTGGTCTATGGTATACAAGAGGGAGAGGTTGCAGTCCCACCTCCCTAGATCCCATGGGCTGGCAGCAGAGAGAAAGGGTGGGGAGAGATGGCCACAGTCACATGCACAGGGTGACTGGCAGCTCCCTGCTGTGCATACTAATTACATTTTTAATCAGCCAGAAGGAGGCTGCAGCATCAATCTGCCACACATGGCTCATGAATCACCCTGGAGCTGGCAGAAAGGTCCTGGACTGATGCCCCCAGCGCGGCAGTGAGGTGGCTCCTAGGCTGCCCCTTGCCCTGGGTGCACAGGCCACCCTGCTGCCAGGCTTCCCCATGGCATCTACACAGACAGCACTTCACACCTGATTTTATTCCATGACACTGATTTGCTGAAAACCCCCATTTCCTGGGCAGGGAAGGGCAGTGGGTGGCCTGGCAGAAGCGAGGCTGCCTGTCCAGGAGGACCGGGACCCTCTCTGCTCAGGGAGGCACTGGCCAGGCCTCAGCATTCCCTCCCCTGACCCCCAACCGCACTGTATCCCTCCCAGTTCATTTTAAAACTGAGCTGCAAAAGTAAAATAAAATGAAAAAATAAAAAATAAAAACAAACCCCTGAGTTGTTAAAAACCAAATTAAAAATCCCCTTTGGTGTCAAAAGGTCCTATTCCTAAAAGCCAGCAAGGCAGGGCAGGCACAGGCCTGGCTTGGGCTAGCATTCAGTCCTCAGGCTCCTCATCAGACTCCTTCTCCAGGCCCAGGGAACGCTCAGGGTCAGGTCGCTTCAGGATAGCACTGTACTTGAGGGCTGTGGCCTCTGCCTGAAGGACCACATCCACCAGGCTGAAGATGGTGATGACCTGTAGCAGAGCCAGGAGAAGACAGGGTAGGTAAGGGCCTGAAATCAAAGCCCAGCTCACTGCTGAGGCTCACTTAGTTCCCTGAGCCTCTCTTACCCATCTGTAAATGGGAGTCATGGGGCCTGGGGAGAACCGATGGACCAGATGGCACCATGCCGGCACTTGGTATGCAGTGAACATTCATGAGGATCAAGAGCAGGCTAGGCTGGGCCAGTCTTTGCAACAAGAGGGATATACAGTCCACACTCTTATCGACTTCTCAAAGAATTCTAAAGGTTATGCTTGGGGAGAGGGACAGCTCCCGTCTCTGCCTCTAGTGGGTGTTCCCACATGAGAACCTGGAGTCTAAGTGCAGGGCTCGAAACCCCACTGGGGAGCCTGCAGTCTGGAGGAGAAGCGCGGGGCAGATAAGGACCTAGGGGCACACGTGGGAGACAGAAGGTGGGCTCAGGGACACAGGGGGCTGACCTGCTGTGTTGGCTCCTCTTCAAGATCATCAGGTTCCCAGAGGAGAGTGAGCTCTGGCTTCTTCCCCACCTTCTGAAAATGGTAGGATCGAAGGGCCAGTGCCTGTGGGTGTACACACCAGAGCTTCAGGCCATGGACTGTAGATGCCACCTCTGAACCTTCAATTCTCCTGCTTAGGGGTGGCCCTCTGCCATGGCATATTCCTGACTGGCTGAAGGGGGCTTTGTGCCCATCACCCTATGGCTACTGCCTGCTTGGCCTGAGACATGGGCGACCCTACCCATCCAGCTTCAGGGGCCTCTGACAAGTCACCTTTGCCCAAAGTTGCATCTGAAGGTGACCCAGGACCACGGGGCAATCTGGGAGGGGCCAAGGCTCTGGTGATAATTGTAGGGGAGGGAACAGATCTTCATAGGCTTATTCAACTCCCTGATGGTTGTGCCCCCTGCTGGTGAGAGGTTAACAGCCCAGGCTGAGGGCCAGGTAACAGCAGAGCTGACCTAGATCTGAACTTCCATCCTGCTCAGAGAAGCACAGGTGCCAGATGTTTCCAGCTGCACTTGGCCCTCTCCTGTTGTAGCTCCTTAGGAATCGCGTGTCTCTTCCAGTGCAGGGTCCCACACTTCCCCAAGTGCTCTGTATGGAGGAGCCAGGTGACCACAGAGCAGCTAAAATGAGGCCCCCAGCTGACATTATGGCAGGCACCAAGAGAACTTGGAATAGTGTCACCAAGGGAAGAAAGAACCCAAGGCAGGACAGGCCTCTTCTTTCTCTTCAGGGACAGTGTTCAGAGCAGTCCTGGCCATCCTCTGGCCTCTCCTCCCACATGTTCCTATAAAAATACCCCAGGCCCCAGCACCCTGCTATCCTGGTTATGTTCTGAGTGCCTGGGTCTTTAGGGAAAAGTTTAGGCCTGGCCCTTGGCCTGAAGTCCTGTCCCAGGCAGGACTACTTGGGTATCTGGGTAGGGTCTATCAGACAAACTTGGAGTCAGGGACCCTCCACTGCCACACGCCAGTGAAGCCCACTGCTGAGGGACGTGCCTGTGGACCCTACACAGTCCATGGACGGGGAGAGCAGGGCTCTCAGCTCACTCTTACGTAACTTCTAAGCATGGGAAACTACCATGGGTTGTTTTGGGTCAGGGGCATATGGGGGTCCCCAACAAGGAGATAGGCACAGGCAGGAAAAAGGCAGAGTGTGCTACGTCCCTTAGGGTTTAGTTTGGCCTGCAGGTGCATGCCACCCACTTGCACGGGGCACACTCACGTTGCAGTAGATGCGCTTCTGTACCCCAAAGCGCAGCACTAGCACATCAAAGGCTTGGTTCAGGACACCCATCACCATGGCTTCAGACTCCAGGGGGCCACTCTCCTGTAGGAACAATGTTCTAGTCATGGCACCCTCCCAGGGAGGGCCTGCACTGGTGCTCCATACAGGCTCCTGGTGAGTGTATGCATACCTAGGAAGAGGGGTGGGGTGGGGATGGGGCAGGGACCAGGATGGACACTCACCTTCACTAGAACTGCGAAGAAGAGGCCGATGCTGAGTTCCTGCACGCGCTTGGAAGCCATGCGGCGGTCATTGCAGTGGTCAGCTTGCTTTTGAAGGGTATCAGGCTCCACATCTGGCTGCTCACTGTAGCCTGGGGAGAGGGTGATCCGGGTTGCTAGTGAGGGGGCTGAGGAAGGTTGTGTGCTGAGGCAAGGGCTCTGGGGCCAACTATGGTCCCAGGCCTTCGTAAGTCCCACTGCAGCTCCCAGTGTGGGCGTGGGTGGACAGTGTTCAAACTTAGGCTTCTCTGACCCTTGGAACGTCTATGATCACAGTAATGTGGTCTCTGATCATTTACTCTGAGAGTGGGTAACTCTTGACTGGCAAAGCCCTTCCCAGGCCAGAGTCACGTCCCTTACCCAGAGCAGCAGCCAGGAGGCGGTGCACTATGACGTCAGCGAAGCGGCGGATGGGAGAGGTGAAGTGTGTGTAGAGGGGAACGTTGAGAGCATAGTGCCGGAACTGCGCCTGGTCCTGCAGCATCCCAGAGCAGAAGTACAGTGCCATCTGGAGGGAGAGTGGGACTGAGCCTGAGGGTCTGCTGGGTGCTGAGACCCGAGCCTGGCCTGTGGCAGGGTTGGTACAGACCTCCTGTATAAGCTGTGGGCAGCTGATCAAAGCCAGTCAGGCTCTTGGGGTCAGGGTCAGTCTCCTGAGGGATCTCAGCGGCTGCCATGGAGGACAGTGGTGCTCAGACTCCTTTCCCTCCCAGGATACATGTTAGCTGTGCCCAGGGCTGAGGTTAGTGCTTGGGATAGCCCGGAGAGCTATGTCTCTGCTGGGTATGGCGTGTTAGGGCCTCAGGATGCTAGGTGGCCTCTAGCCCTGTGGGACTGGCTGCCAGGGCAGTTGTACAAGTGGTCCTCCTCCCTAAGGCCATAGCTCTGAGCCCTGCCAGGAATGATGCAGAGGGGTTGCCTGGGGACCGATCCTCCTTAGGATGGGTCTGGGCTTCCATCCTGGGTCAGGATGACTGCAGACAGGAAAACACATGGCCATGTTGGCCCAGGGTTGTGAACTGTTTTCTGGAGACACAGCTAAAGCTGAGGACACCACGTGTCCCTGGCCAGCACGGGAAGGTGCCAGCCGCCATGGGGGTGCATAAGGCGCTCCTCAGCCTTTGCTGAGCCAACCCCACCCCCTCTGGTCCTGATCTCTGCCCGGCTGACGGTCACACTTGCCCACTGCTTCCACAGCACTCCAGCATATGTCAGCCACGGAGGCAATTTGTTAGCCTCCCAGCCTACATCTGTTTACTTCTGACCAACTGCCCAAAGTGACACACAGGTCTAAGACATGAGCAAAAAGCCACTGGGCTGCTTTCAGCTCAGTACAACCTAGACAAAGTCTGGCCTTAGCCCGGCTACAGCCCTTGGAATCAGCAGCTGCTGCCTGGAAGGATGTTCACTCCCCTGAAAGCTCCAGAGTGCCTGGCCAAATAGACAGCCTGCTCTGTTTACTCCATATACATACCCTGGAATTCAGGGTACAACCCCTGCTGGACCTTGAGTTATGTCTGGGGCAAGCTGCTAGAGAAAATGGGCACACTCTTCACAGCAAGTCATGTTTATCTTTGTTCTCAGTAGTGGCTCAGTTCCTCAGAAAGGCTGGGGTGAAGGAGAAGGGGTCCAGGCTCCTTCTTGGTCACTGTATCTATCTCTAGGCAGGGCAACAATAATGGCTTCTCTGCAGCAGCCAGAGATCCTTGGGGCAGCTCTGGTGTCCTGTCTCAGCAGCTCTCTTGGGAACCAGGCCTGACTCCTCTCACTTTTGTCCTCGCTGCTGCTCTGCCCCTGGCCTGTCCCGTCACCGGGTCACTCCTTGCCATTGCAATCCTGGGTGGCAGAAGCATCCCACAGGCTTCTGGTGAGCACAGCAAGGTGCTCAGCTCCTCTGCTGTGGGTACTGCCTGGGGTAGGGGTGAGGCACAGACACTGGAGATTGGGAGCATGGAACAGGCAGCCAGGCCCCCACGGGCTCTGATGGCTCCATCCTAGTAGAGCCAAGAGTTATCAGGAAATAAATCAGCTGTGGCTGGCTGAGGCCACCTGACTCTCATGAACAGATTGAATCTGCCGAGAGTGACTGACCCTTGAAAAATGGCCTGCCACTGCCCTGGCAGGTGCTAGGGCCCACAGCTGACCCCATTAGTACCCGTAACTCCCGTCGACCTGCCAATCTCCTGAGATGGTTCCCATCCCCAGGAACTGCAGTATAGCCTGGAGGGCTGTGACAGGATGCTAGGAGCCAGCCCATCTGTCTACCTCACAGCTGTCACCTGCCTGGGGACATGGGTCCGAGCTCGTGGCAGACTGATTCTCCTGGCTAGACTCTGCAGCTGCAGTAAAGGTGAGGCCTTTTCTCTTGCCTGGGGTCTCTAGCAGCCATAGGCCAGAGCATCCCTTGAGGGCTGGCGTGCGCGCACGCACACACACACACACACACATGCACGCACACACACACAGACACACACACGCACACACACACACACACACATGCACGCACGCGCACACACAGACACACGCGCGCATACACACA